AAAACGTTTTAACCAATGCAATTCAGTTGGCTGACCAGTTAATTCTCTGAGGCCAGTTTAATGAAAAAAATTATCGCCGCCCCATTGCCAAAAAATAGCTCCGCCAAAAACATATCCTCTGCTTACGAGTTTTATGAACGGTTCTGACACCCGACATAAATTTGACTGGCGACGAAATTTTTAGACTCTAAATCAGATTGTGCCTATCAGAAGTCCGGATAGTGCTATCGTACCGCAATCAAACATCTGTTTATGCTTATGATGGTCGATTATGCTCAATGAGAACGACAATTAGCCTTTGTTGTTACAAATTAGGTGCAACAAGTGTCTTATGTGTGTAATTTGTTATTCTTGTATCAAGAGTAACATTTTAACACCTATATTCAAACAACAAATTTCGACCCGAGCGGCAGACAGATCATGAAAGGTACACAGGAAGATATAGCTCGGCGTGCGAAACTTTTGCGTTTTCTGACTAGTGAGTAAGGTATGAAGCGTCCCGAGTTGCGTAAAAAGCCAAAAATAGTCGTGGTTATGCCAAACAGATATAACTCAGTGTGGAAAGTAATTCAGTGTAAAATCCATTGCTGATACCTTGTCAGATCTGAATAAATTAGTACTGGATAGGTTGGAACTTGGGCATTGGTCCGCTGTCTGTTCATCTTTGCAAGAAGTTATGTGCTGAGCAATCTGAGCTGCCTGAACAAAGCAAATGGAGCACGCAGATAACTTCGTGTGAGAGGGTCAGCCTCCGTCTAGGGAAGACTAGGGAGTGGTCATGCCCGCCCCCCTTCAGTTTGCTGGTTATAATGAATACTGAACCACAAACATTCCAAAAGTATGCACATGAAACAAAGGAAATGCATACTTTGAAAACAATTACCCAGTATTATCTCATTGGCGAGATATTGTGCACAAATGAGGGAAATTGTTTTGAATATTGTACTTGCGGTAAGGCACCCATCTAGTACCATTGACTGAAATGCCATGGCACATGTACCCCTTCCCCATACCTTGCCGATTCATTTCCTGGTTTTATGACCCTGCTTACAGCCCCACGTATAAATATGACACTGTTTGGTGGCATGCCTAAAAGGTATTTACCTACCAAGGAATACACCTGGGTGTCTCCAGTCTCCCCTGATTCCCCCAGGAACAACTTGCTAATTCCGCGAGAGATTACGCCATTGCGCCTTCCCGTAATCCGTCGCGACTTCTCACCTAAAATTGTACTAATGAAACATCCGGCCCGGAACGTCTTTTACACGCATACCAGTTGATTTCATAAAGCGTTGGAAACTACCGATTTCCGATGCGTGGTCATTTCTATCCGTCTCTTGACCGCTGCCAGGTGTTTCTGCAAGGCTCCGTATTCTGCAATGGTGTGACTACAACATCTCTGCTCCGCGTCTCGCAGAGCACCTCAGGAGGGGGCACCAAGGAATCACATACAACTCCACCACAACACTCTCCTCACGCACCAAGCGCTTACACAAAACACTGGAATCCTATAATCTACACTGGAAGCAAGAAAACTCAACATCCTGGATGCATTACTCAATCATGACGACAAACGACTTCTCAGCAAACAACTTAATAAAACTGTTGAATTATCTTTTTGGAGTAGCATTACAAATAAATCACTTAGATAAGGAACAAGACACTGATGAATGTCACGGGTATTGAGTGATTGGCATGCAGTATTGATTTGTTGTATTGATTGTGCTATTCACAGTGTGTGGTGCTAATGATGTCTTCTGCACGGCTGAAGAATTTCCGTTGTTGCCAAGTCAAAACGGCAGTGAGTGCTGTCCAATGAAAAGGTTATTGTTGTTTGCGTGCTCGTATTTTATGCTCTGATTATAAGTGTTTGAGGTGCCGAAATGAAATGAAGAGACATATAGAAGAGCCAGTCACCAGCCATATACCGCGCAAGTTTTGCGAGCTTCGTCTGTCTGTCGCCAAAAAAGCATTATATATATATATATACATATACATATATATATATATATATATATATATATATATATATATATACGTATGCACCATCATTAAGCGCTCTGTGCGAATCCAGCAAAAACACTTGCGCTTACGCCCAGTCCGCCGAGAAGCCCCTGGGCGGGGCCGCGCCCAGGTCGGGCACGTCCGCCAGGCTTCTAGGTAATTTACAGTAACCATGCTCCACTATACGCATCACGTGATTATCAGTGGAATGCAAGGTTGCTTGTGCCATCTCTTGACGAAGAGGGAAATGGCGACAGGAGTCAAAAATGCTTCCATAATGTCATCTAGTCGCAGGAATCCAAACTAGCCTGAGTGCCAGGGATCTGGACGTTTTAACCACTGGAATTAATGACTCTGGATTTTGCGACTCTGGACGCTGCAGACCTGGACTTTATAAACGCTCCCAATGGGCACGGAATTGGACGCATGCTGGACGTTATGAATGCCGTATGTTGCAATCTTGGACGATATGAGCACCGGACGCCGCAATCTTAGACGTTTTGATGGCTCCTCGGCGCTGCTCCCGCCCTGAGGAGCAAGAGCAAAACGCACATTCTGTTTTCGGAGTGCATTTCCTGACACGTTTCTATTAATACAGTAGCGCCGTACCTGTCACTTGCTTTGAACGGATTGGAAAATTCTAGAAACTACTGCTTTGGTCTACATGTGCAATGTATGCAAACACCTATCAAGTTTGATGACGTCATCAAATGTGGAGGAACAGCCGATGGAGAAAGCAGATTTCCATTTTCATCCAGACCCTGGAGAAATGGTCGATAACCTTGCTTGTGTCGCTACCGCAGACAATGGGCGTTGAGCGACGTGTATGTTGGCTGTTGGCAGGTGCTCGGTGAGAGGTTGGGTGTCGGCGGGGGACGCCTGCGTGAAAGCGAGTGTATTTTGTGACTTAGGTGTGTTTGGTCCGACCGGGCTTGTGACATCCGCAGGTGCTCTCTGTTAATGAAGCCGGCCTGTGAGTAACTAAAGCACGAACCGGCTGTGACATTTGAAGTTCAATGTCATAAGGGGTGCTCTGCCAGGATACCTGCTTGGCATGGGCATTCCATACGCATATTGAAGACATCGCTCTAGGTGAGTAAATTGCAATTATTTGTGCTTAAAATGAGCTGTTGGGAGATCTGATGGTTCTCTTTGGCTGGAGTGAGAGGGTTTGTTGTGTTTCACTTCAGCTCATTGGCCATGAATTCTTGATGTCTCAGCTGGAGAGACTAGGTACTTGGGTAACTATATGAGGCTGCTTCTTGGTTCTCATATTTTATACATTCACAAGT